GTGAGAAATAATATTGTATCATTAACATGTGCATACATTTCTATTAATTTCATCGACATTGTTTCAGTTTTTCCATATCAGTCAGTAGTAATTCAGATAATAGTATATTACGCATCTAGGGACAAAATCGCGGGCGAGAATGCCGTACTTTTTACCCGTGGTGCGTATACGATTGTTTTTTACACTGGAATGAAAAGTTCGATCCTTTCAACAGAAGATGAAGTCCAGCGCAAAGCCCCAGTGGGGCCCAGGTTAAAAATTCAACTGTCATAACTTGTCATAAATAGTTTGATTAACCGTGTTAGGAATCTCACGTTAAAAGGTAAGACCTCGTTAGTCCTTAGCTCACACAAGTTTCTCAATTTCTGAGAGTTGTCGTTCGTATTGAGGCGACAGCTGATTGACGGAAAAATAGATTTTGAACAGAAACAGAAACAATTCTTCGCTAGGTTAATGAGAGGAACTCTAAGGTATGACCATGCGCGTTAGTGTATCTAACCGGGAGAGAACCAGGCACTTTCGTCCTGCATACAGGAGACGAAAAGCGAACTATTCATCCCAGTGTAAGAAAATAGTATATTACGCACCTTGGGAGAAAAGTACGGCATTCTCGCCCGTGAAAATTTGTCTCCCAAGCCGAATGCGACTATCGTCACGTATTTCAAGTTGGCATAGACATTATTATAAAAAGTTCATCGCTAGATTACCGAGAGGAAAAGAAAGTTATGAGCATGCGCGTTAGTATTATCTAACCGGGAGAGAACGATGCACTTTTGTCCCGCATACAGGAGACGAAAAGCTAACTTTTCGTTCCGCAGTGACAAAAAAGTAGGTATTGTTGAAGGAGAGAATTATTTTTATATTGAGCAGTGATACGTACGATAGTACACAATCGGATCTCTCGTATTCATAATAAAGATAAATAACTTCTCTTATGTTGTATTTGTTTTTAGAAATAGGTACTGGTTGATTTCAGTACGTATGTATGTGAGTTTCCATTTTGTTAGCAATTTGCATAACAACCTTTCAGAAATTCATGAATTGAATATAAATAAAATACTAAAAATCATACTCGATGAGATTCAGTAAGATGAATGTGATTTTTGCTAAAATAATTTCTGTATCTTGAACAAAATACTTCATTCCTTTCAGTATATTACTTAAGTATGCTTCAAAAGCTTGTTCTGAACAATATTTTCCATACTTTAATTTCGTTTTTCGTTTCACATTTCAATTAATCGATTCCTGCTAATGTAACATCATAATAAGGTCCTACTTCTGCAAGTATTTCAGTTATTTCATTAAGAGGCGTATGAAATATTTATTTACTACAATTTTCAGTGGTACTCCCTTCTATATAGTCTACGATTTGAATCAGAAACGACGTTCAGCCATGGTTTCAGTCGATGAACAATATTTTCTATGAGATTTAGTAAAAAACAAATCTCGATTGGGTTGGCTGGAAACATCCCGGTCAAATTATGGGGCATAATTTTGTAGCAACTGGCAGTAAATATGATAATAATAAATCAAAAGAATGTATTACTTCATCAGAGGCAAAAGCCTTGAAGTACACCTATAGAAATCAATTTTCGTGGTAAAATGTGAATATTTCATATGTAATATTTTAAAATGTTTCAAGTACTTACTTTCCGGGCTAGGGCGGGAAGAATCATATCATTGTTGTCATTGTAGATATGAAAATCATTGTAGGAATGGTTTCAATATTGTAGCCGATCATTACCATGACAGTGAAATAACAACTGTTTGAAAAATCTGTTTTTCCGTTAACCAACTATCGCACCCCTACGAACGACAACCCCCAGAAATCGAAACTTGTGAGAGCTAAGGACTAACAATGTCTCATCTTATAACGTGTGATTTCTAACACGGGATGGACGATAGCAACAGAAAATATCGAGCACCCACATCGAACCGATTGGCCACCGTCCGACCAACTGACAGCTATTTGTCATGAAATTACTTGATATTTTGATTCTTGAGAGTTTGCATGTTTTTTTCTCGTTATTATCGCAATACACTATGAAAAACAACAGCGATAGTGAGTTTGAAAATGTACATAACCAAAACTTCAATGCAGCAACTGCTGCTACAGTACAACTATTGACAACTATTGACTGAAAAATCAAAAACATTACAATACAAATAAGAGTTGAAATGTTCATAATTTTGTTCTACAAAAGAATATGAAAAAGAATGTGCCTCATTATTTGTTATACAACCTAACCAAAACTCCAATGCAGCAACTGCTGCTACAGTACAACTATTGACAACTATTGACTGAAAAATCAAAAACAATACAATACAAATAAGAGTTGAAATGTTCATAATTTTGTTCTACAAAAGAATATGAAAAAGAATGTGCCTCATTATTTGTTATACAACCTAACCAAAACTCCAATGCAGCAACTGCTGCTACAGTACAACTATTGACAACTATTGACTGAAAAATCAAAAACAATACAATACAAATAAGAGTTGAAATGTCCATACTTTTGTTCTACAAAGGAATATAAAAAGGAATGTGCCTCATTATTTGTTATACAACACGGTTGCTGAAAAAATATACACATGTCCGAAAACAGTTTTTCGGCTTGCAGTCTTCCAGGTCTCGCCTACAGCTGTTCTACAATTCTGTCTACTGGTCCAAAAAAAAGTATTTTCCTGACTTGGTACATAAATTACTATCATAGTATTGGATATTTCATGATTTACTGAAATAAAATATTCTTATTACACTTGTATTCCTTTTTATAGCAGATTTGTATCCCATTAACTGCAGTTCACATCCAGCATTGTGACTGTTGGATGTAAACCGTCAGATGTAGTTATCGAGCAGATAATAACACGTCTCAGTTGATTTCATGAATCTTATATTCTTTATTTTCAACATTAGATGTGTAAATAACATTAAACCTAAGTAGCTATAACCAAATTCACAACAAAACATCATAACATCCATTGATGTATCTCAATAATCTTATAAAATACCTGAATTCATCATTCAGTATGTTGTCCTTCCCGTTCTGTTCAAATTATATTCCTTTCATTCAGAGACTTTGTCGCATTTTTAATAAATAGGGGATTTATGTAAGCACAACACTCCCGAATATTATTTTCCAGATGTTCTTTGTTTGCAAATGGTCTGTGCGTATACACTTTCTGTTTTAGATAAACCCCTTGTGAAAAGTACATCGGAGATAAGTCCGGTGATCTTGGTGGCCAATAATCTTCCCAATCTTGTCCTATCACTTTTCCACTGAACATACCACAAATTTCGTCTAACACTTTGAGGCAGTTTATCCAAAACTGATTTATAATGAAATTTCTGTACATGTTCACGTTCAAATTTTCTCTGAAAAAAAAAGGTCCAATTATTTGGTTATGTAATAACCCATACCACACATTTTTCTTGTATGAATATTGGTCACAGGATTCTATTACAAAATTTGAATTATTGTTGGACCACCATCCACAATTTTGGGAATTAACTGTTCCATTCGACGTGAAAGTTGCCTCGTGTTTCCATAAAATCCTCTAGGAAAATGCCATATAATTTTTTCTCCCACCTTGGAACGGAAATGAAAATTTTACTCGAATATCCAATTCTTCTTCTTTAAGACTATGGGTGAACTTGGGCTTATATAGATGGAATTTATTTTTATGCAAAATTCCTCTCACAGTTTCTCTGTCAACCTCTGTATCTTCACTAATCCTCCTTATTTGTATTTCCGTTTTCAACAACGCTCAAATGAACATTGAACAGTTCTTCTTCATTATACCTTATTGGATTATGTGATTTCTCAAAACGATTGTCCACAGAGCCAATTTCTTTGAATGTTTTCAATATCCTTTCCACGATACTTCTTCCTGAATGCCGGTGCTTGAAAATACAAGTAACATCTGGATATGGCACATTCTCGATAACATTGTAGATACTTATTTGTAAATTATAAATGTAAGAAAATCTGTACACAAAACAACTCAATTCATTAAAAGCAATAATTTTACATTAACCAAATTCAAAAATCTGTTTCAAAAGCCTACTGAAGGAAAATTATATTTCGATGTGATCAGTACCTACTATTCTCTTCCTGACATGTTGCGTTAGTCATGTGATGTTTAAATTCACGAAATTTCATATCGGACTTAGTACAAATCGCTGGAATGAAAGTCTTTTGAATAGTTAAGAAACTGCAGGTTAATGTTTAGTTTAGAATAAATATAGTTTGATAAAACTGTGTCACCTCACAAACCACAAGAGGAGACTAAATCATCTGTCGGTAACAAATAAGACAGATGGGTTTCCGCGGCTAAGCTAAACAGTGGAGACGGGAGTGGGTTAAACAACTTAGCAAATTTCAAATAGATCTTAATGGGCGCCAGGTAAATTTAATCCTCCAGATACCCTAAGTAACTCACAATATCAATAACTTACCAATTAATATTGGAAATAAAAGATAAAGATCCCCAATATGATTTATTCGGTAATCCTAACTTACATGGATTAACCAACAACGCTTCTAAGACAACAATGCAATATTCACACTACTACGCGATGTTCAGATGTCAATACAAGAGCGCGGTGTATATAACCACGAATTCAATCAGCCATAAATTACGGTAGTAACGACGCTCAAAAAAACTACAATACTATAATTAATAGAAGATATAAAGCTTCAAATCCTTTTTGTAGAATTTAATATTGAAATACTCAAAATAAAGGAAAATTAGTTGCATCAATCAAAAATGTGTTTAAAATTAAGTCGGCACCATTGCCTGCTCCGTTATTATTGATTTTTATTGGCCTTCTCGATGCCGAAAAAAAATTGACAATTGCGTTTTCCATAAAACGCAAATATTTATTTATTTCACTAGTACAAAAAAATGTCTTTGTTTTGGCAAATAAAACCTCATGATTGTCCGTATATCCTGTTAGGAATGCCTCACTGGCTAACAACGATATTAAAACACTTATAACACCACCAACTTTATAACATTTATTAGTCTATTCAACAACAATGTCAGTTTCAGACTGCCCCACTTAAACATATTTCAACACACAAAGGAATGTATCATCCTCTTATGTAAACTTATCAGGTGATATTCAGGGCTGTCCCATCCAGTACTCCCAACAAGATAATGTCTAGGGCTGTACGGAGCTCTGATCCTAACGCACTCCCTAACATTCGGCCATCCTGCTACCCCATTTGGCCTCAAATGGGTTCAAACACCCATCAGAACAATCTGTAACAAACTTTCCAATGAAAACCTATATAAACAATATATTTTGTATATATGTATGTGTCATAACTTAGTTTAATCCCTAAGTTATGCATGTCTGTTGGTTTAATCCCCAACTTCTGTATGTGTCTGTTGGTTTAATCCCCAACTTCAACTCCCAGTCATGAATTTAGTTTAATCCCTAAATTATGACTGTTTTTTTTTTGTAACTCAGTTTAATCCCTGAGTTATCATTGCCGGTTGGTTTAATCCCCAACTTCAACTCCTAATCATGAATTTAGTTTCAATCCCTAAATTATGACTGGATTTTCACTCACTAATTGTCGTCTCTCACTGTGAACGGTTTGAGATGTTCCACACCGATGACTCCCTCATAACGGTTTGCGTTTTGGCACCTTTCTGACCCTAATTCTTCACATACTTTATATCTATCATTTCCTAAATTCTGTTTTATCTTGAATGGCCCTTTATATTTTTCGACTAATTTCTTACTGTTTCCATCATTTTTGAAATTAGTTACTTTTACGAGCACCAAATCTCCTATTTTGTAAACCGGAGCTGTTTTTCGTCTCATATTGAAAATTTTATTCTGCCTTTCACGATTTTCCTCCAATCTTTTTGCAACATCCTGCCTCAATTTGGTTACGTCAATCGCTGGGGGTTCGTGGACATGAGTGACGTAGCGGTCATTCCCCAAGTTCAATTGAAACCCAACTAAAACTTCACTTGGTGTCGTCTGTATTGTTTTATTGAAGGTACTATTGATTGCTAA